AGTGTTGCAAAGTACAGTGACTTACCTTTGCTGCCGCTTGTCAGAAACAGATCATAACTCGGTGCCCATGTGATTCCTTTTACTAAATAGGATAAACTTCCAGCATATGTTGCATTTCCATTTGGAAATTCTATTTTCAAATCATAACCATCTTCATGAGGTTGTCTCGTCTTGTACTCGATGGAACGCGCATCAGCATAAAAATAGGCGCCTGTATCTTTATTTTGAAGCAGCATAGAAGCAGAATCGATAATTATCGCGTCAATCGCGACACACTCGCATACGGATGATCGTCGAACGGTTACTTCGGCACCTTTAAGTGAATCAGCTGAATGAGTCAATTCTTGACGCAGCAATGCAGTTCCATTCCAACTGATTGATCCAGGAATGACGTTGGCATACTCATCACTAGTAAACGAATACGTGAGAGAACCTCGACCACGTTGAGTTTGACGAACTTCAGTAAAACTCTTATAGATCAAAAGATCTACAGCAAGCAACGACTTGCAGAAGAAAGTGAGAGTCAGATAGTAGAGTAACATGTTGTAATATGAGAAGAACAGGTTATTTTCAGCACATATTTATATGCCTACTCGTTCTCATTTCAACAATCACCTTGGCATGAATATCCGATTCATATCATTGTATTTACTCTTTTTTTTTGACGTTTTATTGTTGAAAGAAGCTTTACTCTCATAATATTTTCGATTCCACATGGATTAGTCAAATTACACATGGATAAAATAAAAGAAAGTTGTTAACTATTTTTGGCTATTTCTCGTAGGTGTATAGTCAAATACTCATATTGACATACGAGAAGGATTATTGACTATATCAAATTACAAGATAGAAAATAATATTTATCTAGCAGATAAAGGTGATACCCTTTGACATATGAAATTGCGTTTCATACAAAGTGCAAGCTGTTCAAAAACAGAATTTCGAAGTTTAAGTGATCATTCATGACATATGAATGGACTATCGATTTATGAGAAATTTAAAATTTTATCAATATAATTGGACATTTCTATGATAGTTAACTACATAAGCACACAATACTTGACGTAATTCTTTAGTTCATTCGTGTGTCATGATTGACTAGTTATACTCTAAATTCTGTTTTTTTGACGAGCTTTCAAACCGTGTCAAACTCATTTACATCTCTTCTAGGATTTGAGTCACACACTCTAGAAAAATAATAATTCTTGCGTTGTACATGCAAAAATATCGATTATAGTCACCTAAAAAAGCTAGACTAAATTACATGATGTATCATCCTAGCTCATAATGCGACAGACCTATATGGAGATAGAGGATAGTCAAAATAAACATTGTACCAACGGCACAATCACTAATATCTCTCCATTTATCATTATAAACGAACTGTATAATATGCTTCTGATCAAAAGTATTGATCAGTATTTAAATATAATGGGTATCCCAACATTTATTTTAAAACCAAAATAGAGAAAAAGATGCAGCGCGAAAAGCTCTGTATTTTATATAAGATCGCTTATCTTATAGTTGCACTTTTTGTTTTCAAAATGAACAAAATTTTGAACGATCAAATTTTGACCTTGCGAAAAAAAGCAATTTTTCCGGTATAAGATGGATTCATTTTTTCTTATTTCATCTTTTTATCACCTGATATCTCTTATTTAAAAAAAAAAGTATGCCACCAGATGCAATGTGAAAAGCTCTATAATTTACAAAGACTAGCTGATTTATATAGTTTGTATTTTTTATTTTCAAAATCGACAACATTCTGAGCGATCGGATTTCTACACCACGAAAGAGTCTTTTAATATACGACTAATGCATTTTAATCCTATTAACCACCTAATATGTTTTATTTAAAACAAACAAAATACATCACACAATGCAGCGTGAAAAGCTCCAAAATCTACAAAGTAAAGCTTATTTTAATTCTATGATTTTTGTTTTTAAAATAAGCGAAATTCAGTGTGGGTGTCGGTGTGTGATGTGAGTGGGCGTGGGCGTGTCTCAATATTTATTACGCCCACACTCCACACCCATAGCTTCAAAAAATTTTTCAACACCTAGCCGATGAATACCAAGAAGAGAAGCAGCAAGAGTACTTGATATATTCGAATCTGTCATTTGCGTATTTGATGATGGTAAAATGCGAGTACCGGTGATAAAACGAATAACGTTTCCGCATGAACACATAAATGAAATATAATAAGAGAGTCCAAGATGCTTAGTAATTTCAAAACTATATTGTGCGTGCACATTGCATTTCGGACAGTTCATCGAATTGGCAGGAGATAGAATATTTTGAATATTAACGATCAAATTCACATCGGCGTAGTCATTCAAATCAATACATAAATCTTCGTCGCTCGATGAGCTTTCTTCATCATCGCTAGTTGAGCAAAGGAGAAGGTTTCGTCGATACGAGGAGATGAATTTTTTTCTCTATAGTAGATGAAGCTGTCGTTGTTGTTATTGGTTGTACTTGTGCAGATGGAATAGGAAAGGTGTTTGTTCGAAGAGATGATTGATGTTGGCGGTCAGTAAGTTGTTGTATTTTCTTCTTATTCTTTCGTTCTCGATGAGGATGACTATACAAATACTTTTTTTTAGTTATAACAAACCCACAGATGAACTTCGAAAACAGCAGATAGATCAAATTACACTCACACTCAACCAAGCCTATAATCACTACTCTCAACAAAATATCCCCGAACATATTTTTGATATTTTGTTCAATCACTCTCTTGCCATCTCAACAAACATCGAAATAAACCATAAACAAGCCGAAGCAGAAAAAAATGAAATTTATAAAATTCTATGGGAAGTTATCGAAACGAACAAAACGAAGAAGAAGCCTGTTCAAGAGTGGATCCCTGGCTCAGTTCAATATTCATCTCTAATTACGCAACTTATTCGTGCCAGGTTTCCAAGTTCGAAATCAAACACCTTTTTACCTAATTGTTTAAGATATAGTATGGAAGAGTTCATCATATATACCTCCCAGTCACTTAAAAATTGAAAAAATCTCATGACTTTCGTGAATTTAATGTCAAAAACAGAAAAAAAATGTAATTTTTAACAATGAAACAGGTATAAAAATTGATGTTTTTTCATGTTTTTGACGTAAAATCCACAAAAGTCATGAAATCTTTTTCATTTTTTAAATCACTGGGCTCTTCATAAAACTTACCTCATATTTTGTGAAGTTCAGAAGAACACTTAATGCTGGTATAATCGAATACAACGTAAATAAAGAGAAATAAACAAAGCATCTTCATTTTATCTCTAGATAGTCAAAAGTTCTCTCTCTGTGTGCACGCCTTTTAACAGAACGAAAAAAAAGGAATATTTTTGTGTGTTGCAAGTGGTCTCTTCATGTAATGTCTTTGTGTATGCTGAATAATCAATCCCGTATAATCAAATAAACTTTTGATCAACCAGATTAGTAGATAGAATTGATGAATTAGTAAAGCCGACGCACATTACGGTTGTATTGTTATATGCTATTCGATCTGCAGTAGCCAACTATATAGCGTACAAGAGAGCAAAAAAAAATCACTTTCGTTTTTTCGTTAAATATTAGATGTTGACAAATATTTGAAAAACAGAACTTTTCCTAAAAATTGAATTACAAATCAAAGGAAGCTCAGATAGAGTTCATTCAAGTGTAGATCGAAAGAAAAATATATAATCTATTTGTAGAATGCATAAACAAAAAAGTCGATTTTTTCAATTTTTCGTCCAAAAAGAGGGGGATATCCTTAAGGGTGTGGGTGTGGGTGGGTGTGGGTGTGGGTGTGGGTGTCGGTGTGGGTGTAGATGTGAGTGAGTGAGTTAAGAGAACACCCACACCCACACCCACACTCACCCACCCACACCCACACCCACACCCACACCCACACCCACACCCCCCCCCCACCCCCACCCCCACCCACACCCACCCACACCCACACCCACACCCAAAAATATATAGTGTGAGTAAATATATGATATCTCAGTCTTTTTCAAATTTTGTCATACTTTGTAAATTTGAAAATTTGAAAATTAAAAAATTCTGAAATTTGAAAATTTTGACATTTGGATTTCAAAATTTGTACCAATTTGAGATCTGGCACTCCTTGCTCCCACACCCACACCCACACCCCACCCTCATCAGAACGATGAAATTTGTGTTCTTATTCGTTCTTATTTACTTTGTACTTTAAAATCTATATGAAAAAATATTATGTGTCTCTTTTCCTTGACTCTCTTCTTCCTGATAGTCTTTCTATTCCTTACATAGTGTGTTTCATCAGAACAATGAAATTTGCGTTCTTATTTACTTTTCATTTGCAATTCTATACTAAAAATATATATTGGGGATGAGAACAGCTACCAAGACCAGTTTCGTCCTTTATTGTGTTACAAAGATGGATAGAAATTATGGCATAGAAAGAGAAGCAGAATATAATTTGAGAATTTCACTTCTACCTAAATCATCTTTAAGTTCGTTGATTTTTTTAGGTTTTAGTGTTCTGTTTTAAGACAATAACATGGTTCTGTTTTGGATATTGAAGAAGTTTAATGAAAGTAGTTCTTTTGAAATGGCGGTTGAAAAATGCGAGAGAAGAGATGCCTATGTAAAAGGTAAACATATAAGTTTTAGTTGTAAATATGGAAGTATGATCTATTGCTAATTAGCATATTTTTATTGAATATTATATCAATATTACGCAACAAATCAATGTTTAGTCTTTTGTATTTCTCTTTTATCTAGATCCAACAGTTGATAATATGAAGTTCTTACTCCAAAAGTTTTCACATCAGACAAAAATTGTAGATAATACCTGATGTCAATTTGTTCTGAAGAAAAAAAAACAACCCAGATGAATATGCTAATAAGTTGATTTAATTTTTTTTAGCAATTTGATAATGTATTGAATAAAACTAATAATGACATTTCATTTGCTTCGACTTTATTGACGAGCTCTATTCTAAGATAATAATTAATGATATAAACATGACACACGTAATTGTAGTTATATTATACTTATCTAACATGAAATTAGAATAGAAATTTAAATTTGACATAATAAATAAAATTTTAAATAGATAACTAAATTAATATTATTCGAAAGAATATTTTTCTTTTCTAATGTCTAAATTTTTCACTATAAGTAACATTCATTCATGATTTATTATTCACAATTACATTAATATTCAGATTGAGAATATTGAAATGCTTCATTCTATATCAAATCTTCCATTTCAATCATGCTATACATTTACATATCGAAAATGAAATAAATCAAATTCAATTTTGTCTCATACAATGTCTTTTGTCTTTCTCTCTCGAAAACTTCTAACATAATAAACTTTTGTCACATTGATATAATAATTTAGTCAGAGAAGCCATATATTTACTTTAGATTTGCTGAATAAACTGTAATTACCAGCAATTGCAGAATGCAGAATTCTGTGGGCTTATATATTTTTTTAAAACGAGTTGACTATGCTATTCTTTTCTGGTCTGCTTATATTCTGCCTAGATTTCTGTAAAATTCTGCAGAATTCTGTGTTATCAAAGACAACGTATTCCGTACTGGTCTGTTTAAATTCTGCTTAGAATTCTGTGTTATCGAAAACAACTTTCTTTCCCCTTCAAGATATACAGTTTTAGCATTCCTATTCAAAGTTTCTATTCTGTTAGTCGTAACAGAATTCTGTTTTGAATTCTATTAGGAATTTATCTCAGTGAATTAATCCATTATTTACCGATTGAATTTTTAAATTCTGAATTCTGCAGCGCCTCTTAAAGTGACATACTATTTATTGAATGATTCATTAGAATATTCGATTATTGGCAACATTGAAAATGCATTACACAATTGATAAAATCTATTGACTACTACTAGTGAGATACTTCTTGTTGATAATATCAATGAAAATTTTGTTGGCATTAGTGATGTTAATTGTTATTAATTCTACATAGGTCAATTCAATTAATATGTTGTAGATTCAGAAGATTATAAAATACAAAAATTTTCTTCAATACTAAAGAATATAGTTTTACTGTTTGTTTTTTTGATTCATTTTGAATAGAACATAGTATTTACAATCTTCTTGGGTGGTATATAAAAAAAGACGTCAAACATAGTTTTTTTTCTCATTATCTTCAGTAGCGAGACTCTCAAATATACTATGTAAACATACAAAGCCTTCATATAGTAGTTCTTTTTTTTCTTATACATTAAAAATTAATTAAAAAAATATTCAAATTTCTTCGTTCTTATATTTTAATTTAATCATCACATCAGTGAAACAATTGACATTTATTCGATTACTAAAAGAAATCGAAAGTATAACAACGTATTTTAAATCTTTGAACCAAAAAATTGGATAAAATAATGACAAGTAGACATTATTTAAAGCTATGTCATCTTCTTAGAGAATAATAATAAGTGTTTTAGGTAATGTATTGCCAACTCAGACAAATGTTATAAACGAATCACGTCTTGGTCGTCCACGACCACATAATTATCAAGTATGTACACTTTCTTATTTTAATAATGATTCAACATGATTCTATCTAGCATTATCATGAATCAAAAATAAAAACACAACCGAATGCTGTTATTCATGTTAATATTCGATTACCAAATGATAAATTTACCAATCGTCATGAAGATTTACATTGGGTTTGACATACTTTTTGATTTTTATATTTTATTATTATTATAAATATTCTGTTTTAATTCTTAGACATCTGCTAGTAATGACAAAATGCATTATTATCAAGATGATGCACAAAAATCAAGAAATAATCGAATATCTCAACAAAGTTCAGGAAATACTCTAGATTCGGTAAGTATAACGAAATGTTATGAACATCATTCTTCTTTATTAGAACTATCAAGAAGACTAACGAAAATATAATGACAGCAGTCAAAAAAAGTGAGCTCCAAGGTGCGTAAACTTCAAATTTGAATCTCACTTAGGCATCTACATCTTACCAATCAAATTCAGTCCACGTTTTCTCCTTTATAGCAGTAAGGCCTCGTCACTTGGAACGCCACAGGTGTCACCTAAGTTGCTAGTAGCATAGCGCGGAATGCTAGAGACATCATCTGGCATGTTACAGGCATTGCCTGCGATACTAAAACCTGATTGGTTGATAATCGCCCAATCAGATTTGAGGAAGCTGTTTCTTAGCTATTGTAAGGACAAAACATAGTGTTGTTGGGGGCGTATGAAAGAGCACCTCACATAACTTCCTGATCGGCCCGTGTAATACCATGTTTTGTCCTTACATTAGCTGAGAAATAACTTCCTCGACTCTGATTAATCGATTATCAACCAATCAGATTTTAGCATTGCAGGTAATGCTACTAGCAGTATAGGTGATGTTTCTAGAATCACAGATAACATATCTAGCTAACATCACATATTACTCTCCACTTAGGGTTCCGGTAAGTGAGTTCCAAAGGGTGGGGTGTGGGTGTGGGTGTGGGTGTGGGTGTGGGTGTGGGTGTGGGTGTGGTTATGGGTGTGGGTGTGGGTGTGGGTATGGATGTGGGTGGGTGCCTGTAGATGTGAGAAGAGGACACACTCACACCCACACCCACACGTACCCACACCCACAGCCACCTCAGATCGATATATCGAAATACCCATCGAATGACAGCTTGGGAAAGGTAAGAAAAACTTGAAGTGAAGAACAGAGAGAAAATAAACAAGACTGAGCTAGGAAAACTGAAGTAGATTTATTCATTCATTTTATTGTTGCTTGCAAGCAACAAGGACATGTTCTTGAGTTTTACACTGAATATATTTCCAATGACAAACATTACGCTTGTTTTATTTGTAAATAAAAAATGATTTTTTTTGTCATTTTACGCTTATTAATTTTTGTTTGCGTCAGAGTAAATGAAATATTAGTATATTATTGAAACTAATTACGCATTGGTGTGACAAAAAATTTCATTCATCATAACCATAAATATACCATGACATCGTTAATAATGTTCGTTGATGTACATTCGCTTCACGCGAATGTTACCTGTGTGTTTTTATTTTGAAGTTAGAGGAAGAAATTCATTTTATTTTTTGTGTACTCAAAAAGTGAGCACACTCTAGAATCGGCCAGTGTGTTCGGCCGGCCGTTCGTCCGTTTACACGATAACGGTTGAAAGAAGAGTCCGATTGCGGTGAACTTTTCTATACAGCTTAGTCTCAACAATATCTCGGTCGAGTTCGAAGATGAGAATGATTGGCCGAGCCATTGCTGAGTTATTGCAAAAATAGTCATTTTCCCCTATACTTCCCTATGAGAAAATCGACCCTTCTCTGTTTCCCTTAAAAACTTTTCCTATCATGGTCAATTAAAACCCCAACTATTATATGCCATTCGATAGAGAATTTCACGAGCTACAAAATGGTATATAAAACATAAGGAAACAAGGAAGCTAACTCACCTATTGCAAAGATAATTAAACGGAACTCGGTTCTGTTTTCGTCCACGCTCTATGTGATCTACAATTAGAGCTCTATCTTCCGATCACAGAGATGATAGTTTGAGGTTTTCTAGGGTGGAGAACTTGAATCTGTGTTCCATTCGCCTCGAAATCTCATTGGCTGACCAGTAACCAATAGAAATCAAGTTATAGGAAAAACGACTTTCTTAGGGTAAATCAAGGTGAAGAGTTCAAATCTGAGCTGTATTCGCCCCCAAATTCTATTGATTGAGCAGTAGCCAATAGAAATCAAGTGTTTATAGATAAGATTTACCAGGACAATTTTTATATCCCCACATTCTAGAACGACTCATCTGTCTCATTCACTTTTTGAAGTACACATAACTCTCGGATTTAAATCCGAGGTTTCCACATATTGAGAAACACGATCTGAAAGGAGTGTTGAAGTGTTTAGGGGTAAAAATTTGTCCCCCCCCCCCCCCCACAGACTGTGACAGACACTCACGTGACCCATCACAGACCGTGACAGACATTTTAATTAATTAACTAATTACTATATAATTAGCTAATTATCCATCACAGACCGTGACAGACATCGTAATTAATTAATTAATTACTATTCCCTAGACTGAAAGGCTAGGGTCTAGAAACCGAAATTCACCTGTGTCTGTCTGTCCGTCTGTCTGTCGGTAACGCGGTCAAAATGGCCATTTTTTTTGGCACAAAGGACCATTTTTTTGGCACAAGTGACCATTTCTTTGGCACAAAGGACCATTTTTATGGCACAAACGATCATTTTTTTGGCACAAGTGACCATTTTTTGGCACAAACGACCATTTTTTTGACGCAAACGACCATTTTTTTGGCACACGTGACCATTTTTATGGCACAAACGACCACTTTTTTGGCACAAGTGACCATTTTTGTGGCACAAATGGCCATTTTTTTGGCACAAGTGACCATTTTTTGTGGCACAAATGGCCACTTTTTTGGCACAAGTGGCCATTTTTTTGGCACAAGTGACCATTTTTTTGGCACAAACGGCCATTTTTTTACTAAAATTAACTAGGTAACTATGGTACAAATGAGCATGTAACTATGGCACAAACGGTCATTTTTTTGGTAGAAACGACCACATAACTATGGCACAAGTGACCATATAGCAACCATGGTACAAACAACTATTCCGGTAACTATGGTACAAATGATCATCTAAAGACTGATGTAAATGAACCCATAATAATCATGGGTAAAATGTCAATGGAATAACTATAATTCGGGTAGTGATGTAAAACGGCTTACTTACAAAAGCATTTAATTAGTGAGAGTCAGACCAAATGAGCAGTATGGATTTAAAGAAATCGTTTAAATTATTCATTATTGTAAGATTGATTGTGCAATGTTGTATCAATGAATATCTAATTTATTAATAGTTTAGAATTAATGCGTGAATTTAAGCATAAAATATTGATTAATAAAACTCAAATTTTATGAATAATATAATTCATATTTTTGTACGTACAAATAGCGCCAATATAATTATAAAAAAATCGTATTATTGTCTAATCTTATTGGGCGCTATTTATATTCATAAAAGCGAAAAAAAAATAAAACAAAAACGATAAAAAAAAATTAAATTTGTAAATGCATCATCTTTACTTAGAGTGAGAATTCTCCAAATTAAGTTTTCTGGTCGCCTAAGATATACTGGTCATATTATCAATGTTGCGCATTACTTTTTTAATGTAGCTTTTTATGCTATTCCATCCGTACATGTATTCTATCAGTCTAGGGCTAAGTGAATCGCTTGACGATGAACGTTACTTGTTTAGTTAACTGATTACCCATCACACACAGTGACAGACAGGATTTGGACCCATCACAGACCGTGACAGACAGGTTTTACACCCATCACAGACCGTGACACACAGGACTTGGGACCCATCACACACCGTGACAGACAGACCCTGGACTCATTACAAACTGTGACAGGCAGGGTCTGGACCCATCACAGACCGTGACAGACAGAGTCTGGACCCGTCACAGACCGTGACAGACAGAACTCAGAGGTCATTATAGACAATGATAGAAGACTTCAAGGAAATATCACAAATGATGCATAACTAAGATATGATTGAAGCGTATATAGAGTACTATCCTGTTGAAAGTCTATAATGTAAGATAAACCATTATGAAGAAATGTACATCAGTATGAATAAAAAACAACAGCTTTTGCAACATCGGGTATAGCAGCTACATCGTGTTTCACATTTTTAATCCCGCAAGGGATTGCGCTAACAACATTTTTATACGTATAAACAATTTCGTTTAGAAATATATTAAGTTTTTTAATGATATAAGAACTGTATTCGTGTATCATCCAATACGATCAGAAAACTCCCGATAGTGAATTTATACTCTTGATAGAGTTCTTTTCCAAAATCGAAACTTGTCGTAATAGTTAATCTATTCTAATTATTTCGATCAAAGGCACAAAATTACGGTGTAGCTAAGCGACACCAGGAAATTTCCACTATAGATGAATGCAACATGTTCACACATATGGTCATATCTACTCTACTTGATAATATACATACATGAACATCATGATAATGTTCAGACATCCTATCGTGTACAGTTGGATGAAGAGATAAACATTCATAAATGTGAGGCGATCGATGCTTCAGTTGAAAGCACACAGGAAAAAAATAACTATCAATATAATTATAATTTAATATAGACAGAGTAAGTTGACTACTATTCCTTATGTTTTTTCTATTTTAAGGTTGGTTAAATGTGAGTAATGATTGAAAAGCTGTTAGCGCAATCCCTTGCGGGATTAAAAATGTGAAACACGATGGACCTATTGTTACTAATAAAATGGAAATCCTTTTGTTGCATTTCCTTACGACACATTTGTAGCTGACCGTATATCTGATGCTGTATAACTACAATTTCTGTGTCACGGTCTGTGATGGGTACCCAGGGTTCTCTGTCACGGTCTGTGATGGGTACCCAGGGTTCTCTGTCACGGTCTGTGATGGGTATCCGGGTTCTCTGTCACGGTCTGTGATGGGTACCCGGGTTCTCTGTCACGGTCTGTGATGGGCACCCGGGTTCTCTGTCACGGTCTGTGATGGGTACCCAGGGTTCTCTGTCACGGTCTGTGATGGGTACCCGGATTCTCTGTCACGGTCTGTGATGGGTACCCAGGGTTCTCTGTCACGGTCTGTGATGGGTACCCAGATTCTCTGTCACGGTCTGCGATGGGTACCCAGGGTTCTCTGCCACGGTCTGTGATGGGTCCGGAGGTTCTCTGTCACGGTCTGTGATGGGTACTCGGATTCTCTGTCACGGTCTGTGATGGGCACCGAGGGTTCTCTGTCACGGTCTGTGATGGGTACCCAGGGTTCTCTGTCA